AAAATATCTCTGGAATGACTGTTTGGGCAAGTACAGTTGTTTAAATAATTTCTCTCCAGAATAAGCAAATTGAATAACTTATAAACTATTTGATCCATGTATTTAAAATTTGGCGAAATTTAATAGCTCATGAAGTAAAAAAATAGAAGATTCGAAAATTGCTTTATGTGGGTATAAGGTGATACGCCGCAATTCAGCTAAACGATCTACAGGTGTTGTGCTATATGTTAAGGGCAACCTTTAGTTTACTGCCGCTAATTTTTAATGTAATTAATGTCATGTAAGAAGATAATTTTTAATGTAAATTTATTAAAGTAGATATTTATTCTCACAAAATTGTTTTTGGGCGGCCTGTATCATTCATATCACCTTGTTGTTCTAATCCAGTATTTTTAGAAAACTTCGAGCATTTTTTCACAATTTTTTAAAAAATAATGTCAGTTGTATATTACTTGGTGATTTTAATTTAGATTTTTTAAGTACTAGCTTCTACCCCCAGAAAATTAAAGCAATGATTTTACAATGTAGCAGTTAATGATAACTGAACCAACTAGAATTACGAATGTTAGTGAGACCTTAATTGATTTTGTTCTTGTTAATCTTCTTCTTCAAGTGCCATCTCCGCGGCGGAGGTCGGCAATCATCACAGCCATTCGGACTTTTGAGACGGCTGCTCTGAAAAGTTCATTTGATGTACATCTGTACCACTCTCTCACTCTCAGGTTGCGCAGCCATGACATTCTACGCCTCCCTATGCGTCTCTTTCCTTGGATCTTTCCCTTCATAATCAGTTGGAGCAACGTATATTTCTCGCCACGTGTAATATGTCCGAGATATTCTAATTTTCTTGTTTTTATTGTATTTAAGTCTTGTTAATAATGATCTGATTATTTTTTTGTTCATTCAACTCCTAAGTTAAGTAATCAATTTATAAAATCGGTCAGTTTTAGTAGTAGGTTTCAAAATTTTAATATTTCTAGGGAACGTTTAAACAAATCCAAATGAATTTACTTTATTGTGATTGGAATTTAGATTCTACTGATGTTTTACTAGATACTATTTACAATGAAATTTTATGACACCGTCAGTCTGTCACAAATAAAATAGCACCTTTTTAAATATTATCAGAATAATAACATGATTTGATGATGAAATTAATAATAAAATTAAAATTAGGAACAATTTATACAAAGAAATAAAAACTGCTAAAAGAAGACGTGATAAAAATGACAAATGGGAAGTTTTTAAAGGGGCAAAAAATGTGGTGAGGTTCGATGGACTGGTCATGTAGTGAGAATAGAGACCGGAAGATTGCAAAAAAGATTCCTAGATAGTAAAATATAGGGCGGAAGACCAAAAAGAAGTCCACGGAAAAGGCAGGAGGATGAAGTAGCAAGGGACGCTGAAAATTTGCTAAACGTGAGAACCTGGAGAAGATTGGTGCGGGACCAGCAAGGTTGGAGGCATAGTTTATAGGAGGCTGAAGCCCGATTTGGGCCGCAGTGCCATCGGAGAAAGAACAAATGTGGTAGTTAATCGATAGGTACACAAATAACTCTAGACCTATGGAGAAAACTAATTAACAGTAATTGTCAAACACTAAATTAACAGTCATTGTCATTTGCTAAAAACAATAATTAGTAGTAATTGTCAAAAATTCCTTTATCCCATTAAATTTAAGGCTCGGAATTATGTAAAAAAAGCTTGGCATGATAAACTGGTTACAAATGCTCTTCAATTTTGTCTACGGGCTTAAAATTTCCAAATGGTAAAAGTCGTTGTTTACTTATCACTCATATTGGAGGAGGTAAAGCATTTGTTGGTTGAGGCCTGCTAGATTTCATGTCAACTTCATCATTGATAAATAAATAACTGCTGATATTTTTGGGGAATATTTTATTCAAATGATAGATTTATTACCGACCGATTATGTAACAGTCATTGACAATGCCAGTTACCATTCAAGATTATAGGAACCGTTACCTTACACTAAATCGAGAAAGCAAGAACTCTTAGATTGGCTAATAGGCAAAGAAATAGTAGTGCCAGCAAAAGGTTTATTTAGAAAAGAGTTATTGCAGCTATGCAAACAATATTCACCAAAATTTAAGAAGTACAGCGTAGATAAAATAACAAAAGAACGAGGGGTTAAAGTGTTGCCATAACCAACTTATCACTGTGAACTAACTCCATAGAACTAATCTGGGCTCAAATGAAGGGAAATTTTGCGAGAAATACTACAACATTTAAACTTCAATATGTTCGTCAATTGTTATCTGACTCCATATCAAAAATTTGAAACAATAGAATCAACTATTTCTGTAGGAAATAAAGAAACTGATGATGCTTATGATGCCTCCTTAAAGGAAGAAGACAACTTAGGTATTTAGATAATTATGTAATTATATATTTATGTTACCAATTACTTACAAGGATCACCAGAATGGTCGTCCACGTGGTCCATTTGGATTATTTTAGGTTCTTAACATGATAAAAGGAGAAATCATACGATTTCTACCTGGCGAAATCGAATTCAAATATAGGCCGCCGTGCTCCCTAAGACTTGCGAAGCAAACAGCTTGATGAATGCATCGGCAAGGGAGTCTAAAAATTGCACTCCAAATGCCGTTCATCATGGCCTATATTCGTAGTGAATTCGATTTCTGGTACTCCAAATAAAACAAATGACGGTATTGTATTTTGATTTGATACAGAGCAGCAGCAAGCCGCATATACGTATTTCGATCTGTTTAGATCTTCTCAGTACGGTATAGTTACTACTCCATGTAGGTAGTAGTAACTATACCGTACTGAGGAGATCGAAATACGTATATGCGGCTTGTTGCTGCTCTGTATCAAATCAAAATATAATACCGTCATTTGTCTTAACATGATGTTGATAAAAAGTTTAAATCATAAGTATTGTAACCTGAACTATTTGAACTGAAACTCTTATCAAAATGATCGGTTTAGGATTCCGAAGAAAGGTTTGAAGATTGAATATCGGGGTTATTATTATTTTTAACAATATTCTCTAGGTTTTTTGTAACCATCCTCTGTTAATGACGCTTAGAAACAAATCGTTTTCTTTAAATATAACTAATTTTAGGAAGAATTACACTTACCTTTTTGTAGTAAAATAAAAACCAAACTCGGAAGTAACCTAGCAAATAGTACCAAATCTTTAACAATACACTATAACCAAAGCAAGTATCAAAAAAGTGGCTAATTCACAATAATTCGTTTGCGCTGTATACTGCTTGAATAGAATTCTTTTATTTCTTTTAAGCATTAATAATATTATTATAATTAAACTGCCATTTGTTTAAATAGGTATGAAATGACAATGACAATTGATATCATCATTTTGTCACACTTGTTCATCTTCGAAAAGATGCCTTCAAGATTCATCTTGTTGATAAAAATTTTATTTTTACTTTTTGCAAACTTATATCATCGTGGTAACTAGAATAATAAAACAATTGTAACGAATTAGCTAGAAATAAAAAAATTTTACACTTTACCTAAAAACAAAAACATGTTTTTCATATATTAAACTATACCATTTTTAATTAATCATGATTTAACCTTTTCGCTTTTAATTATTTTAATATCGTAAATATGTTTTTATTCTATTGAAATATTTGCTATTTAATCTCATAATTGGTAAATGTTGGACGTCCAGAAAACGTCCGAGTTCGGACATCCAGGGAACGTCCGAGTACGGACGTCCAGAGAACGTCCATGTTTAGTCCACACAAAGTACGTCCCAAGTACATCCGTGTAACGCCCAGGGACGTCCGGACTAAAACTGGACGTATATTTGACGTCCAGAGGACGTCGTGTGTTACTTGGGACTTATAGGCAGTTGTTTTTTAATTGTGTTTTTAATGGATATTGTTTTGTATGTTTTACATTTTCAATAACTTTAGTAACTATAGCGTAACTATTTGCTAAGTGTAATTGTTGTTTTTATCATATTATGTATAAATGTTGTTATAAATTGATTATTTTTGGGTATATTAAGACTTTCCCTCCTTTTGAATAAATTAAGTTCTTCATTAATTGCCACAATTTTGGGTAGTTATATTACAAGTCACTGTTAAAAAAAAACAATGTTATTATCATTTATACATTATTAAAAAAATATTTTTTTCCAATTATCTCGGTCAACTGTTTAGGTATTTTAATTTGAAGATCCTAAAAATTAAAGAACTTTTTATGACCTACAACTTTTATTTGAGCCGTTTTTCTCTAAAATGAATAAGAAACGTTTTATAGACAAAAAATGATTTTTCCGCAAATCGCCAGGAAATTTTGACATTCCTGTCAAAATTTCTTGAAGAAAAAGTCAGGACTTCCTTACTTTAAGGAAATGTCATTTCCTTACTGTAAGGAAATGATATTTCCGTACAGTTGTTAATGTTCTACATAAGTTTGACAATTCAACCTCAATACGTTTCCATAGTAACCCAAGTAATTTTATTAGGAATTTCAAAGCACCGTTTATTTGGGAATAAAATTATCGCGTTTTTTTTTAAATCAATCAATATCTGTCGAATTTTAAAAGATTTGCGGAAAAATAGTATGTTTACCTCGTAGGAAAAGCCACATTCCTGGACTCTGTGTTGCTAAGTCTCGGCTTGCGCCTCGACTTAGCAATCTTCACAGTCGTCCAGGAATGTTAAGCTTTTCCTACCCGGTAAACAATGTACTATTTTTCACTTTTTACGATTATATAATAAAAAAAAAGCAAAATTAGCTGTATGTCTTCACGGAAATTGTCACCAGCTACCTGTCATATACGTTTTAGGACCTTATTAAACCCGTATAAGATTTTTTTAGCCTTTCTTAGTTAGCTGGGGTAAAATGTCTGCTTTAGAACGTGGTTTAATCAACCACGTTTTTTTTTGTAAAATGTCAAATAGTGTTCTTGCCTTTATACAGTTTTTATTTCTATCAACAAAATATTACTTTCAATAATATATTTTTGTTTTTAGGTGATGGATCCGAAAAAAGCTCGAAGACCAGAAGAAGGCATAGCTTATCAAATGCTTTTACAGGCACTATTTGCTTTATCTGGAATCAAAAACTTCACAAATTGGACGATATCAAACGAAGTTACATCCGCGGGAAAATTCGATGATCTCGTATTTGAATCAGATGAAAAGTGTATGTTGTTACAAGCAAAAGTTAAAAGTGGTATGAGGTATACTAAAGATTTTATGACTGTAAGTCCAATTAAGAAAATATGTGAATTCAGTATAGCAATGTATTTATTATCGTATATAACTTTCAAGAAATCCTTTAAAATAACACGTAATTCCTTAATATTATGTACTGCTGCCACGCTGAAAGTTGCTGATATTATGGATGAATTACCTGCTAACGAATATTTGCAGCAAATATTTGGCAACAAGATATTGACGTATAAAATTAAAAATGAAGAAGAAATGGTTGAGAAGCTTTTAGACACAGTAGACCAGTTTAAAAATAACATCGATGATAAAGATAGTAACGAAGAAAAGAAACAATGGAAACGTTTGGTTATCGACAGGGAAGACATTAAATCATTTATGTCTTCTTTTGTTGTTGTTAACATTAAACTCAAGAAAATCAAATCGTTAATTAAAAGCAAATTAAGTGAACTTAAGTATGAGTTTCCAGTATCATCATACGAATATGTAAAAGATCATGTAGAAGAGTGGTCTAATTTATCACTTAACAACTTTGTGCCTATGACAAAAGACTACTTGATCTTTATTTTGTGTGGGGAACACAACCGAAATTTTCTTCAGAAGTTAGTCAATACTAAAATTTATTTCAAAGAAAGTTATCAGTTTAATTCAGACAATATTATATGTGTTCAAGTAAACGATAATATTGCTATGCATCTAATTAAAATTTTAAGAAGCATTCAAAAATCAGAAACGTCTTCCTTACCTCTAGAAGAAAACACATTATGTTTGATGCAAAAAATGGAAAATACATTTTATGAAATAAAATATACAATGGAATATAATGTTATATGTGATATGATAAACACATTTAGATGCGACAAAATTAAATACTTAGTCGTTTCGTTTTTATCACTTAACGAAGATCAAACGTTAGAATTGTATAATAAGCTAGATTTGATTACTAAGGAAGATCCAAATAAAAAAGTATTTATAATCACTAAAGAACAATATTTGCAAAACAGTGAAATACTAGTCAAAACAATTAATGATAAAATATACTTTAATTCGCTAGAAACTGATACACAACAATACATTTTAGGCAAAAAAATTTCGTTTCAAGGAGAATTGGTAACACTAATGGATTTAATTAATAACACCAAAAATATTAACTCTGGACTTAATGAAATTAAGATTGATGAATGTCTTAAAAAGATAATATTTAACGAAGAAAATTACTCGATAGGTTCTAATTTACAAATCTCATCAAAACCTGAGGAATTCTATGTTGAAAGAAGCCTAATATCTAACTCGGAAATATTTCCGGAGACAAAGTTTTTCGAAAAAATAGACAAAAATATAGTTGTTGTTACAGGTCCACCTGGTGCAGGCAAAACAACTTTATTGAAACAAATTGTATCACTCAAAAAACTTAAAGACAAAACAGATTCCAAATTGACGTGGATAATTAATATTGACTTAAAAAAGTCTAAAAAGTTTTTCCGAAATGCTATTGGAGAAACCTTGAGTGATCTATTGTGTTATAATGAAAATATAACTCCTAATAGCTCCCATTTAGCTCATTTTGAAAGAAAACTAATCGAGTCTATGAATAAAGTTTTGATTATAGATGGTCTTGACGAGAACTGCCCCGAAGATATCGAAAAAATACGAAACTTATTAGCAGATCATAATTCCCTTCAGGATTTGAATATTTCTTTGGTTCTAATGGGTGCCAGAGATTACGATTGTATCTTGAAAAAATTAAGGAGTCTAAATGGTTGTGAGTTAGTTAGACTATGTACATTTTCACCTAGAGATCAGTCTTCTTTTCTTAAAGGATACCTTAACAAACTAATACCTGCAAATAGTGAACATGATATATTTGAGAAGTTAACACATTTTGCTCCTGCTTTTAAACATATTTGTTCAACGCCACTATCGTTAAAAATGGTTTCTAAAATAATAAAAAATAAATTATCCAACGGTGGTTCTATCGGATTCTTATCAAAGGTTCTTTGTAATATTTCAAACGTATATGATTTCTATAATTGTTATTTAGAGGTAAGGAAAGACGAATTTGCACAAGATGACGATATATACCGTCAGGCATTTGACAGGTATATATACTCGCTAAGAAAGTTAGCTGCTAACAATTTGTTTTCCGATAATCTTTTAAGTTTGCTTAATGTTGATGCTAGTTTTGAAATTGGTAAAGATGCTTTAAACGTTGGAGTATTAAGGGAATCGCATGAAGGGTATGAATTTGTTCATAAAACTTTTGAGGAATATTTTGCAGCGGAATTGCTATGGGATTGCCTTTATAAGAAGAAACTTAGTTCTGATGCATTGCTCGAAATTCTGAATACAGTATTTTTAAACAATCAGTATGTAGGGGTTTCGGATTTTTTTGAAAAAATTTTGGAAATTAATCAGAATAAAGATATTATATCTCGATTATCTATGGAATACAATTTAGCACTTACTAAGGTAAAGTGGAGAAGAGATGTATCACTGTTATGTTTTCGGGGGTATCTCTGTATCATTAAGTTAGTTTTTAGTAATTATACTTTTTTTTCCGATGTTTTGAATATTGAAAGTATGTCTGAGGAAATACCTTTACATGTTTCGTGTCTTTTCCCATCTTTATACAACTACATCGTAAAAGAAGGGGTAAACGTTAATAAGTCTGATAAAAACAGTTTTACTTACATTAGCTGTTTATAATATTGTAAGGTTTTATTGTATTCTTCTTCACGTGCCGTATCATAATTATCCGACGTTGGCGATCACCATTGCAAAGGCTTCTCGATCTTCTGCCACAAGGAATAATTGTCCAGCATTTGATATCCGAGTCCATTCACGAATATTTTTTAACCGAGAAACCTGTATTCGTCCTTCTCCTCTACGGCCTTTTATTTTGCCTGTAAGGATTATAATTTATTTTTATGAACGAGAGAGTAATTAGCATAATTTTAACTGGTACCTCCGACCACTCCATGGGCGTGCTCAAGATTAATTGAAAAATTACTTTGAATAATTGTAAAAAATAAATGAATTATTTCAGTGTTATAAAGTGTTATGTGTATGTAAACAAAAGTGACCTCTTTTATCACACACTATATTAGAACTGACTGGCCTACATTAAAAAGGGTTTTAAAAAGTTCACATTTTTTTTAATTTTTAAAAATTACAAAAGAGAAAAAGAGTTTTTAAAACCGTCTAAAGTATGTTAAATAGATGAATAAAAATATTAATATAAAACTTACAGCTACTTGTTACAAATCCAAATCAGATTCAGAAGATGAACTTTCAGAACCAAGATTTATAATAACTGGCTCGATCATTTTATCAGTAATATTGTCCAGCTTTCACATTTTTTCCTCTTCTTTAATAGTGTGATTTACTGCCTTTTCCCAGTTTTCATGTTTTACATTATTTACGGCCTTAAAAAACAACTGTTTAACATCATGAATTTTAAAAGTGGTATTTTTTCTTGAAACTTCACTCTTTATCTGTGCCCATACCAGTTCAATCGGGTTTAATTCACAATAATATGGTGGGGATCTAAATATTGTCATTCCACGATTTTTGGCAATTTTATCAATTTCGTATTTTTCAAATTTTTCTTTATGGAGGGCACACAACGAATAAAGTTCCTTTCTTATAGATCCGGGATGGTACGTAATATTTTTTGAACTCAGCCAATTCTGCAAGTATTTTTTTAACCACTTGGTTGTGGGCAGTCCTTCTATAAGTCTGGAGTGATAACTTGCATTATCCATTACTAGTACACAGTTCTTAGGAAGAAGATCTTTCATTTGTTCGAACCATTCTTGAAAGACATCAGCGTTCATGTCTTCATTGTAGTCACCGGTACGAGTTGATTCAAAAGTTCATAAACCACCTTCAACAAAACCGTCTGAACTGCCAATGTGTACTATTATCAGCCTGCGTCCCTTTCCTGATGGTGGGTTTATACCAGTAGATAAGTTATTTACAAAAGCGTGCCTTTGACTTGTAACAGTTTCATCCTGCCAAAATTTATTTGGTGTATGACCCTCGTTGATCGATGTTTCATCAAGATAAAATATTTTTCTTTTTTGGTTTCTCATTTCCTTTATGGTTCTTAGAAAATGTCTTCTCCATATGACAATATCGCTTCTTTCTAATAAAATAGACTTTTTGGGATTCTTTTTCCAGCGGAAGCCTATTTCTTTTAAAAGTTTCCAGAACGTACTTCGACTCATTTCTGGGTAATCCTTATCATCTCGAACTGAGACAAGAACTTTATCCAATGTTGGAAATTCTTGTCTAAAGAAGAATTTATGCACTTTCCGTCGAAGTCCTTCTTTAAAATGATATTCTATTTGAAATTTTGGTTTCCCTGGAGCATTACCTGGCATTTGAAAACTACCACATTTTTCTTCTTCAATAACTCTGTAAATCGTAGATTTCCCAACACCAAGTGTACTGCTAACTAACTCAACGGTCTCATCAACACTTTCACATAAACTTTTGTCTGTAAATGATTTAAAACAATTAAATATTAATGTTTTTTCATTAACTGTTAAAGGACCAATTTTTCGGCGTTTACACGGCACTTCCAAATTTTCCATAACACTAGTATACACAATAAACTGCACCTTGCAACTGAAGTACCTACTTTTAGTGAACTGTTAAGAATTTTGAATACGCCACTTGGACCTTCCTACAAAATGGAAAAACTCACTATCACATTTTCTGTGGAATAAGTTTAGAAGGTAATTATCTAGTCAATTACTGTCGTAGATTCCTGGAATTAAAGAATTAAATGTTTGATTGTTGAAACCCATTCTTGTAACCTTTTTGTTTTTTTTTTTGTAAATTTAGGGCCGGTTCGACATTCCAGGTATAAATTGGAGAATAGTTATTCTGAGTATAACTTATACTTGAGTTTATTCCAAGTATATCCTTTCGGGCGTTCTACATTGTGAAATCGACAGCGGAATAGTTATTCTGGGTATAACCACAGAACACTAAGGTAAAACGAAATAGTAGATCTGATATCTTCAAAATTAGTTCAAATTGTTATTGACAGCGACATTTGGCATTTGTCATAACTGTAAAATTTGTTTACAATTGAAAGGAATTGAATAATTGATTCGCTTTATCTGGTATTTTATTTACGTTTATATTATTATACTGTACAAAATTAATAGAAAATGGATAAAAAAAGATGTAAAATTTCCTTCTTAAATTTTTTATTATCATTAACTGAGATTAGTGTTATAATATAATAACCAAAATTATGTAAATATATCTATATAGGTAGGTATTCCACATTTTAAACAAGTATAAATATTGGATTACAAAATATATAGTTTTAGTTAAAGAAATGTTTATATAATACAGATTCTAGAATTACAGTCTCTGTTATTAAAACATTAAAAAATATATTGCCTTGGTAAGATTATACCTATACTATTTTAGTCATATGCTTTCTTTTTCTTTTGGATTGCCTAATAAAATTTCCTTTGGATTTACAATCTAAAATGTTTGTGCAATATCAAAAATTTTATTTTATATATAAAAACAAACAAAGTGAGGTTAAAATATTACAGACTTGACAACCTCTGACCGACCAATAGAAATGCAGTATAAGTTTATACTGGGTATATCTGCTAAACTTTGGAGGGATAAAGTTATTCTACAGATATACTCCGATTATCTTATTCCTAGTTTATTCTTTGTTTGTAGAACACCATTAATGAAGTTATTCCAAGTATAACTTTATTCTCAGTATATACTAGCATTGTAGAACCGGCCTTTAGAGTTAAGTAATTTTTGCTATCTTTTGTATTTCCTATAATTTTTGTTCATTATCTTTCGTATGATATCTCGAGATACGCCAAACTATTTTTGTATATGATTGCCTTATTAAATTATTTGTATATGATTGCCTTATTGTAAAGGTATTATTTTCTTAATACATTATTGCTTAATTTTATACATATATAACACCATTTCATAGTTGTGTATTTTTATTACCTTGGTTGCATTTATCAGCATCATAATTTTGTGTTTAATATATTGTTATTGTTTTATGCATGTATTTTATTTGTCGGCTCCTAACAAGTTCCCTGATAAAATAATAGCTGTGAACAATTACTATGCTTTTGAACTGTAGAAAGATCAGGCTGATTAAGTTTCGTAGGTAAGTAAGTGTAATACTTAATATATTTATTATTTGTTTATATATTGCGTTGACCAGATTTATTTGATAATTTACTGTTGGTATCTTTCCTTGGGTTTGATCTCTGAACCTAAATATATTTTCTTATCTCTCTTCTTTTCTAAGGTTTTCTTAATTTTCTCCTTAACCCCAAAAAATTGAGTGGCGCCCTGTTTCTATCTTCTCTTATCTTTGGTAATTTTACCCATCTATCTTTTTGTTTATTTCTGTATCTTTTCTAATATCTCTTATCCTATCTTTACCTATTTCTTCCGTTGGATCCATTCCCGGTTCCAAAAGCTAGTTTAGAACCCACGACTCGCTCTCCACCAACCATCTGGCTGCCGTCCGCAGTGTCTCCATTGGTTATCTTTCTAGCACCACCCAAAAAATATTTCCGAGGTTACAATATCATTTTAAAGTCTTCTACTTTAAAATGTATAATATATGTGTGAATTGCCGATATAAATGAGTCAGACTAAATAAATTATTAGAAGAATTTTTTGACTAAGCAACCATATTTTTGTTTAATTTATTAATAATTTTTGTATTTTGACAACGACACTCGATTTGGGCGTCGAAACGTTAATAAAATCATTTTTTAGTAAAATTGTAGCTTATTTCCTGTCAAAACTAGTTAATTGCAATAACGCCACAAGAAAATAGCTTCAGAACAAAATCGAGATCTTCCTTTGGAGCGGAGGATAAGCGCCTTAAAATGCTACGTGTTCTCGACTTTGTTAAATGAAATGCAAAGCTAGACACTAAACGTAGACAATATAAAGTAGTTGGAAGCATTTGAGATGTGGTGCTATAGAGGGATTAGAGGGTGCACAAAAGTGTTAAGGTTACAATGCTACAAAAGGATTGGGAGGTGATAAAAAACATCAACACAAGAAAGCTGGAATATTTAGGTTACATTACCGAAGTTGCGAAATATGAGATATTGGGCTTAGCAAGGTGAAATTAAGCCATATCTTAAAAATATTTATAACGGTTAAATATTTCTTGTTTGTGAAAAAACATTATCTATTCGTATGCTATTGAATTACTAATATTCTAATTAATAAATTTGCAGTTGTAGCGGTATTGAATTGGATGTGCGACTTGTCACAGATAATACACCTATAGGGTAAGTTCGGTCCTGACACTACTCCTACCTCCTTGCAAGTTAGAGATAGAATGAGACATCTCGATACGGTTTTCGAGTAACGCCATCTAGTTGTTGATACGTCTTTCGGTTACCACGAGGTGAGCTATCTAGTTGGTGGTTTATAATCAATGCCCAAAGGTAATATGATATACTTTACTTTAATGTAATTCACAGTTTCTTCTCTGGACTTATTGGATGTCTGTCTATTGCAACTATTGGATGTTAGATCCCTTCTCACAAAGTTTAGCACAAAGTAATTAAATAAATATGGAGACAGGTGGAAGTACTCCTTAAATTTAGTATCCCTTTCTATTAAATGTAGACGAATTAATATATTGAAAACACCTTCTTGTACAGGAGTCTTAAATATATTATGGATATCTTTGTGTTTTTTTTGTTTTAACAGTAATTGTTCCTCTTCTTCATCTTTGTCCATTATCAAATTTAATAATAAGACGTCATTAGTATTGATCATTTTGATATAAAATAATGGAGTATCAATATAATGAGAAATCTGTTACGACCCGAAGAAAAAGGTTCGGAAGCGTTTGATAAACTGAATCAATTTCCGTGCGACAAAGAAAGTGATATTTTATTGACTGCAAAAATGCAAATTATAAAAATTTACATATGAAAGAAATTGTTTGGAAGGAGTTCGCCAAAAAAGTGAATAAAACCAGTAAGTATACTCATTACTTTTATTTTTAATAAACTAATTACTATTGTGTACAATTTACGATACCTCTTTGCCAAGATACTTAGCCTACTTGGGAACAAAAATATTCTTTTAATGTGTCTCGAATAGTTAGGCCTTCGGCATTAGCAAAACGACTAGTATTCGCCAATCCAATCATATTATCAGGCGGTATTTCTTCTTCATTCCGGTGATAACTAGGAATCTGTTGTTGTTCAATATAACCTTCTCGTAGCATGTTGTGCAAGCAACAGACAGACACTATTAAGTCGTCACAAGTTTCAGGCAAAATCGGTATTGGTACATAAAATATTTTTTCTTCAAACGTCAAATAATGATGACATTACTTTTTTTCCCATTTCTTTACGGCGGAGGGAAAAATGTCATGGCAACAATATGAAACATGTCACAGAGCAACAATACAAATGTCATTAACAACAATTAAACATCATTTTTATTTATAGTAATATTAAAAGTACAATTAGTTAATGAGTCATTTTCAAAATTGAAACCGTGCACAAATGTTCCCGACTCTTGATACGCATTGGTAATTGTTGATGATTTGCAAACAACTGTAACCAGGGGGACGCAAATCCCACCGACGACTTAATTATTTTAATTTCTAACATCTAGACGACTTTGATAGTTGTCACAGTTAATTTCAAGTAAAAATAGCGTATGAATTGTACTATTTATGGTTGAAAATTGCTACGTTTGAAGAAAAAATAGTATACTTTATTCGGCAAAGAAGCGACTTTTCTTGACTTGCCCCTTATTACGCGCCTCACTTTGTTCGGCGCGTAATATCGGGCGCGTCAAGAAAAATCATGCTTCTCTGCCTCATAAAGTAATATACTACTAGACACTTGAGATAACAAGCCGAAAGCGTTTTCCACTATACGCCGAGCACGAGATAGTCTGCAGTTAGAAATATCTTTCTGGGTGCCATGTCTTGCAAGTCTTTGAGAATATAGCTTCATCATAAACGTATCAAGAGCAAAAGCATTATCACCGACTAGAAAGGGTTTTACAATATCATCTGTTCCTGGTAAATTTTTTGGCTAAGGAAAATGTTGAGTTTTGTATTTTCTTTCCCATTTTTGACTTTTTAAATATATCACCTTCTTTACCATAAAATTCCACATCAATTGCTATAAATTTATAACTCGAATAAACCATTTCTAATAATACTATTAAAAGTATTGTTTATAGTTACAGAAAAGAGATCCACTGTTCTGTGACGATTTTATACGAACATGTTTACCATCGATGCTACCGACTCAATTTGGTCTACTCCATTTTACGCAAAAATTATCTTTCAATCTTCTTAAAATCGTTTTTAATAGAAGGAGGCATACAAAATTTTTTCGAAGAATAGAAAGTACTTCTTGTTTAACTATTTTTGATATATATTACCTCGATATACAATATTGAAATGATAGAGAAGCAAAACTTTCTCCTGTTGAAATGAATCTAAAACATAACAATCACATATTAAATAATAAACAAAAATAATACTTATTATTTATATTACAGGTGTAAAAAAACAGTGGAAGACTATACGTGATGGATACATGCGATTTAAACGCAAAAATAAACAGTGTTGAAGAACTCGCACACCCAGCACAGAACAGTACACAGGAAGATGTTCCTGCAACGCATTCTCAACAAGCAAATGCTAGCATAAGTACTGAAACTTATGTACGTACTCTTTCTGTCAAAGCTGACCAGCAACTCAACAGTAAAAAGCGTGGTCATAATAATAAAGAAGACATTCTATCGTATATGAGAGAAAGGAAGAAGTCACGCCTTTCGACAATGACAAATGCATTACAAATTGTGATGAATTTAAATCGTTTGCTGGCCCTATCGAACAAGTTTTAAAAAAACTTCTAACAAAAGTGCTTCAAATAAAAGCAAAACAGGAGCTCTTTCAATTTCTGACAAAATTTGAAATACTGGCAGCAGAGAACAACCCTTTACATAACGCCCCGATAAATGTATCTGATAACACTCGGTACACTATTTTCAATGTTATATCGTCGACTGGTAGTTATTCGGATGCAACCAATATGACATATAACAAAACGAAGATTTGCCTTCAATAAATCGTCAACAACAGTCAGATAGAGAAGCAAATGGAGAACTGATTTCTGAATTTCTAGAAAATTAGTTTAAGAATATTGTTCTTCTTCTTCTTCAAGTTCCACTCCTATCGGAGATTGGAAATCATTCTGGCAATTATAATTTTATTGGTTACTCGCCTGAATAGTTCAATTGAACTGCATCCAAACCACTCACGGAGATTGCGTAGCCACGAGATTTTACGTCTTCCTACGCTTCTTCTACCTTTGATTTTACCCTGCATTATATTCCTTAGTAGTTCGTACTTTTCACCTCTCATGATATGCCCCAAGTATTCCAATTTCCTGATCTTTATAGAATTTAAAACTTCGCATTGTTTTCCTAGTTGTTCGAGAACTTGTTCGTTTGTTTTGCGATCCATCCATGATATTTTCAAAATGCGTCGGTAACACCACATTTCGAATGCTTCTAGGTTTTTAATGTTGGATTTTTTAAGTGTCCAACCTTCAACTCCATACAAAAGGGTAGAGAAAATATAACATCGAAGCATTCTTATCCGGAGCGATACATTGATATCGCGATTACAAAAAAGTTTTCTCATTCTATTAATAGTTGACCACGCAATTTCAATGCGGCATCTTATTTCTTTTGTCTGATCAGTATCTTCTGTGATCCCTGCTCCAAGGTATTTGTATGAAGATATTTGTTCAATTTCTGTATTATCTAGTACTAGCTTAACTTTCATGTTTTGTGCTTTTGTAAATACCATGAACTTGGTTTTCTTCAAATTGATTTTTAGTCCATAATCGTTGCAATATATATTTAGTTGTTCAGCAAGGTGTTGCAGTTCTTCTAGTGTTCCTGCCAAAAGGACGGTGTCGTCAGCATATCTTATGTTATTAAGTGGCTCACCGTTTATTATAAGGCTCTCACTGATCTCGGCAAGCGCTAATTCTGAGATGGCTTCACTGTATAAATTGAATAACAAGGGTGATAAAATACACCCTTGGCGGACCCTACGGCGAATCTGGATATCCTTGGTCAGTTCGTTTTCAACTTTCACTTTTGCTGTTTGATTCCAATAGAGGTTACAGATGATTCTAATGTCTCTACTGTCTATGTTTTTATTTAATAAAATTTCTTTAAGTCGATTATGCTGCACTCTGTCAAATGCCTTCTCAAAATCAATGAAACAGGCATATACTTCCTGATTAATATCTAAGCATCTCTGCGAAAGAACACTTACTGCAAACAGTGCATCTCGTGTTCCCAGTCCTTTCCTAAATCCCATTTGAGTATTACTTATTCCTTCATCTAATTTCTTATGTATTCTATTGTGAATTACTTTTAAAAACAATTTCAAGACATGACTCATTAAGGCTATGGTGCGATGTTCATTGCACTCCTTTGCATTGGCTTTTTTGGGAAGCAGTATGAATGTTGATTGGAGCCATTCTTTAGGTATTATACCTGTTCTATATATGGTATTGAATAGATCCAAAAGAAGATCAATAGATTCAGTATTTATAATTTTAAGTAATTCGATAGGAACTTCATCAGGCCCGGGAGATTTACCATCTTTAGCTTGTTTCATTACATATTCAATTTCTTCTCGTATAATGTCAGGCCCAGTATCATCCTTAAATTCTTTTGGTGCTTCTGTTCTCTCTTTGTCTTCAAATAGTTGTGCTATATATTGTGTCCATCTCTGCGTTTTTTGGTTTATATCTGTTATAAGTGCACCCCTTTCATCTCTTAGTTGCCTAGTTTGAAGTGTTTTTCTCATTCCTGCTAATTCACTAATTCTTTTATGCATGTTAAAAAAGTCATATTTTTTCTCAATTTCTCCTAGTTCTTGGCACTGCTCATGTAACATTCTCTCCTTAGCTTCTTTTATTTTCTTTTTTATTAATCGATCAGTTTCATTATATTTAATTGGATTTTTTGTTTTGAATGATTTTCTTTCATTCATTAATAGTAGTATTTCTTCAGTCATCCAATCTTTATGTTTTCTATTCTTTGGTTTTAAGTTTTCATTTGCTGTTTTAATTATTGCTGATTTTATATATTCCCATTTCTGATCAATGTTATAGCTACTTTTATTCAGTTCTTGGGCATTACGTATATTTTCAGTAATGTATTTCGCATTACGTATTTTCGAGTTTTTACAGTTTGTTCCTTTGTTTGTGGTTCCCTTAATCTCTTAATATCAATTCTACTTTGTGTGGGTTTTTTAACCAGTTTTAATTTGGTTCGTAATGTGACTACTATGGGGTTATGGTCTGAACCGATGTCTGCTCCAGGTTAAGTTTTGGCAGACAGTATAGAATTACGAAATCTTTGTCTAATAAGGACAAAGTCAATTTGATTTCGGATTATTCTATTCGTTGTATCACCGGGAGATTTCCATGTATACAACCTTCTTTTTGGTAGCTTAAAAAGTGTATTAGCTATTACAAATTCTTCCGTCTGGCAAAATTGTATCAAACGGTCACCACGTTCATTTCTATTTCCTAGACCATATTCCCCCACATATCCATCCACTCTTCCCTGGCCAACTTTGGCATTGAAGTCGCCCATTACTATTGTAGTGTGATGTTTTTTCATTGATTTTAAGACTTGTTCCAAATCATGGTAAAACAGTTCGATATCGTCGTCATCTTTATCTGCCGTAGGAGCATAAACTTGAATAAAATTTACTATACCTTTTTTAGACTGTAGTTGTATTGATAAGATCCTATCAGAATAAGGAGTAAAACTTATCACAGAGTAATTGACCTTTTTTGCAACTAAGATAGCAACACCGTAACGATGATTGACCTCGTTGTTACCTGAATAATACATGGTTCCATTATTTGTAATTTGTTTGCCTGAACCTGGCCACTGTACATCACTTATACCTAAAACATCAATTTGGAGGTTTTCCATTTCAAGCAGTACGTTCGCTAATTTACCACTTGCATATAAACTTCTGACATTCCAGGTTGCTATTTTCAATGTCTTAAGTCCACAGGGATTTCTCTGGTTTACGACCTGGGAGGCCCTGTGATCTACAGTTATTCCTCTCCTGCCGGATCTTGGATTCCGTGCTCCATAATCAGTAAGTTTGTTTACTCTACTTGTCATTTGCCATTCATGACTTTACTAGGGGTACTCTAAGAGTCTTTGAATAATATTGTTATTATAGATTATTTTTAGATGGATTAGGTTTTATAAATTAGATATTGTTAATTTAATATTGTTATTGATAAGTATTATAATAATAATCATTAAGAACTTAATTGAATTAGCTTACCTTAAAGTTAGGAATAATTTTTCTGTTGGTGATATTTTCTCCGTTCTTGTTTTTGGTGTAAGATCCTCATAAACTACAGACATCACAAAATTAAACCGGTCTTTATTAAACGGCAATAACTTCTGAAATTTGCTTCACTATCATTTAAATGTCTTTTGATCAATGTTTCATAAGAGCCTTCTTTCAGTCTATGTAAATACGATGGTTGTGTAGGATTTCTCCTAAAGTAATAAAACAATAACAAACCGTCATAATCTTCTTCTTCTTGCAGTAAATCTTGTAGTATTTCATAATCCATTTTTTTTATGTAATATACAACCTCAACTGTTTTATGCCGTCACATAACTGAAGTGTCTGCTACTGACTTATGGAATCAATACGACAGCAAATGCTGCCGCCGCAGCAAATGCTGCCTTCTGCAGTTGCTGTTTGCAGCTTACAGTCGTTGTCGGAATCGTACCTTAAGAGAGGTTGTAGGTGTTTTTCATTATTCACAGCTATGAGGATATCATCACCTAGATAGCAGAGATATGCATCTTAAATGCATTAATTTTGTTAATACTTTTAACTATTTTCTCTATTATTATTATGATAAAAAAACCTTACCAAGTTTTTTAGTACTTATGACAACATTTAATTCTAATCATAACCCGATATTCTAAACGCTAAATTACTATATATAACAAAAAAAAATAACAAGTGTTTCTTCTTTATTAATCATCAAGAAAGCCCAATATTATTAACACAATTTAATTTGTTTACAAAAGCGCTTAGGACAACCTTTAATATTTTTCTTTAGGTTTCTGATTATTATCTTTACTGTTCTTCGACATATTCGCTTGTGCCAAGGTAAATGTTTACATTTCATTTTCAACAATTTATATACGCGTGCACGACTCTGAAAAAATACCATAAATTAATATTTAAGTAAATGATTTACTCTTGTTTATATTTTAAATAAATTAAAATGAGAGGTTAGTTATGTCAAAAGAATATTTAGAAAATTGGTATAGCAATGTGTACGAAGATTCCTGACCTGGAAGTTAACCAGTATAATAGGAAATTATACTTCGCTTCATTCCATCAGTCTAGAACACAATGGCATCACTGCTTTGCTGTGACTCACGCACCAGTTAAAAGAAAATAAAACCAAATCCCATCC